TGGGATTACAGGTGTGAGCCACTGCGCCCAGCCAGGAAAGTTGTTTGGTAGAATCCACTATTGTTGAACAGTCACTTATCATATGAACTAGCAATTCCAGCCTGAGCAGCAAACATGCATTCAAAAGCATGTTCAAGAATGCTCCTGGACCTGTGCGGTGGCTCACACCGGTAATCCCAACATTTTGGGAGGCCGAGGATGGCAGATCACCTGAGTAGGGAGTTTGAGACCAGCCTGACCAACATGGAGAAACCCCATCTCTACTAAAAATACAAAATTAGCTGAGCATGGTAGCCTGTAATCTCAGTTACTTGGGAGGCTTAGGCAAGACAATCGCTTGAATCCAGAAGGCAGAGGTTGTGAGCTGAGATCACGCCATTGCACTCCAGCCTGGGCAACAAGAACTAAACTGTCTCAAAAAAAAAAAAAAAAAAAGATGCTCCTGACAGCAGGGCTCATCTTAGCCCAACAGAGGAAGCAACCAAAGTATCAATCAACAATTGAATGAATGAATAAGGTGTTGAGTACTCATGTTATAATGGAATACCATGCAGCAATGAGAATGAACTATAACTATGCCCAACATCATGAATAAGTCTCATAAAAAAAGAATGTTAAGTAACAGAAACCAGAAACCAGACACAAGAGTATACACTGCCCACTGAAATGTATACTTAAAATGGTTAAAATGGTAAATTTAAAAAAATGTCTAATAGAGATGGGGTCTCACTATGTTGCCCAGGCTGGTCTTGAACTCCTGGGCTCAAGCAATCCTCCCACCTCAGCCTCCCAAGTGCTAGGATTACAGGTGTGAGCCACCATGCCTGGCCCTACAGTGTTAAATGGTATGTTTTGTATATTATTTCACCACAACAAAAAAAGTGTAGGTGGGGGACCACAGAACTGTACAACACAAAGTGCATCTTAATTTAAACTATGGTCTTCAGTTAATAATAATGTATCAAAGGCTGGGCGTGGTGGCTCACACCTGTAATCTCAACACTTTGGGAGGCCGAGGTGGGCAGATCACCTGAGGTCAGGAGTTTGAGACCAACCTGGCCAACATGGTGAAACCCCGTCTGTACTAAAAATACAAAAATTAGCCAAGCATTATGGTGTGTGCCTGTAATCCCAGCTACTCGGGAGGCTGAGGCACCAGAATCGCTTGAATCTGGGAGGAAGAGGTTGCAGTGAGCTGAGATTGTGCCACTGCACTTCAGCCTCGGCAACCAAACAAGACTTTGTCTCTCTTTATTTTATTTTATTATTATGTTTTTTTTTGAGACGAGTCTTGCTCTGTGGCGCAGGCTGGAGTGCAGTGGTGCAATCTTGGCTCACTGCAATCTCCGCCTCCAGGGTTCAAATGATTCTTCTGCCTCAGCCTCCCGAGTAGCTGGGACTACAGGCATGCGCCACCACGGTCGGCTTATTTTTTGTATTTTTAGTAGAGATGGGGTTTCATCATGTTGGCCAGGCTGATCTAGAACTCCTGACCTCAAGTGATCTGCCCGCCTCAGCCTTCCAAAGTGCTGAGATTACAGGTGTGAGCCATCGCAACAGGTCTGAGACTCTGTCTCAAAACAACAACAAGAATGTATCAATATTCACCCATCAATTGCAACAAATACATTACACTACTGCAACATGTTAATAATAGGGGAAACTGCAGGGTGGGCGTGGCAAATGGGCGCTTTTACCTCCCTCATCATACTTTCCACTCAGTTTTTCTGTAAACCAAAGACTGCTCTAAAAAAATCTATTAGTTTTGTAAAATTCCTTGGCTCCCCTCCAAAAAGTGTACATATGACATGATCTCATTTACATAAAATGCAACAACAAGCAAAACAAATTCATGCAATAGACGTTGGGGTCATGGGTACCCTTGAGAAAGGAACACAACGGGACTTCTTGGGTGCTCATGATGTCTCTTTATTAGAGCTGGTTATATGTGTGTTTGTTACGTTTGCAAAAATTCATCAAGCTACACATGATCAAGCTATACATGACATATGCATTTTTCTATTTATTTAGGTATTTTTGAGACAGAATCTCACTCTGTCACCCAGGCTGGAGTGCAGTCGTGCGATCTTGGCTCACTGCAACCTCTGCCTCCCGGATTCAAGCAATTGTCATGCCTCAGCTTCCTGAGTAGCTGGAATTACAGGTGTGCGCCACCACGCCCAGCTAATTTTTTTTGTATTTTTAGTAGAGATGAGGTTTCACTATGTTGGCCAGGCTGGTCTTGAACTCCTGGCCTCACTCAAGTGATCCTCCCACCTCGGCCTCTCAAAGTGCTGGAATTACAGGCGTGAGTCACCGGGCCCAGCTGACATATGCACTTTTCTATATTGTACCCTGTAATTTAATTGTTTTAAGTTTTAAGAAAACATTAAAAATAAAAAGATAAATAGTCTCTCACACAGGAGAATTTCAAATAGTTTATGGAGATAATCCCTCCCCAAGGAGAAGGAGCATAACCCCCCACTCATTGGGTGTGGGCTGTGCATAGTGACTTCCTGCCAAAGGGTACAGCATGGAAAGGGAGGAAAGGAGTAACTTTACAGTGAAGAGACCTGACACACACTACCTCAGCCAGGTGATCAAGGTCAACATCAACACCTGTAAGTCATACTGATAGGATGTAACCTTGATATGATGTGACAAGAATGGCACCTTACCTCCAAGGTCTTCCTACCAACAAACCATAACCCCAGGCTTACCATGAGAAAAACATCAGGCACATTCCAATAGTGGGCATCCTACAAAATATCCAACCAGTAGTCCTGAAAATTATCAAGGTCATCAAAAACAAGGATATCCTGAGAAACTGTCACAGCCAAGAGGAGTCCAAAGAGACATGATGACTAAATGTCATGTGATATCCAATGGGTCCTGGAACAGGAAAAGGACATTAGGTAAAACCCAAGGGAATCTAAGTAAACCATGGACTTTAGTTAATTAGAGAGACAGACAGAGAGAAAGAAAAAGTCCATTTTCTATACAACTGAGCCTAACCTCAAACCCTAACCTTTTTCATTGAGCCATCCGAACCCAATGGAGATATAGACAGGAAACAACCTTCCTCTTCTCCCATTCATGGTCTTCCAAAATGCTCTGTTCCTCTATTGGATTCCCCAACCATGTGCCTTGGCATCTTCACAGGTTGATCCCACAGTTTTCTCATTTTCAGGAATAAAAGCCCACTCATGTCAAAATCAAAACTTCCCTCTCACATCCATGCTGGGCACGGTGGCTCACACCTGTAATATCGGCACTTTGGGAGGCCAAGGCAGAAGGATTGCTTGGGCCCAGAAGTTCAAGACCAACCTGGGCAACATGGTGAGACCTCCTCTCTACAAAAAAAATGTTTAAAACTAAAAAATTAGCCAGGAATGGTGCACACACCTGTGATTGTGGTCCCAGCTACTCAGAAGGCTGAGGCAAGATGATTGTTTGAGCTCAGGAGGTCTAGGCTGCAGTGAGCCATGACTGTGGCACAGAACCCCAGCCTGGGTGACAGAGCAAGACTCTGTATCTTCAAAAAAAAAAAGATAGAAAACTTCCTTTTCACATCCAATTTAAGGCTTGCCCTCATCCTCTTCTTAGACCTGACTGAGATCTGGGTCCATATTAAAGACTCCTTTAGTATAACAAACACCATATATCCGCACGTAAGTCCATGAATAGCTGACATTTCTCATATCTACTTTCTCTTGATTTATTGATTGATAGGTATACTTTTTAAAATTTTATGGGTACATAGTAGGTGTATATATTTATGGGGTACACGAAATGTTTTGATCCAGGCATGCAATGTGAAATAAGCACATCATAGAGAATGGGGTATCCATCCCCTCAAGCAAGGGTAAACCTTTGAGTTACAAACAATCCAATTATACTTTTTAAAGGTGTACTTTTTTCTTTTTGAGACTGAGACTCGCTCGGTCACCCAGGCTGGAGTGCAGTGGCACGATCTCGGCTCACTGCAGCCTCCACCTCCTGGGTTCAAGTGATGTTCCTGCCTCAGCCTCCCGAGTAACTGGGATTACAGGCACGCGCCACCACGCCCGGCTAACTTTTGTATTTTTAGTAGAGATGGGGTTTCACCAGGTTGGCCAGGCTGATCTCAAACACCTGACCTCAGGTGATCCGCCCACCTCGGCCTCTCAAAGTGCTGGGATTACAGATGTGAGCCACCACGCCTGGCCTAAAGGTGTACCTTTTTTAACAGAATCATTCAAAAGGAGGTTGCAGGGATCTTGACACTTCCACACTGCAGCATTAATCTCCTAAGAATAAGGATACACTCCCACATACCATGACACTCTGTTCACACCTAAAAAAATTAACATTTATTCCAGAATATCATCTAATCTCCAGTCCATGCTCACATGTCCCCAATTGTCCCCAAAATGCCTTTTGTAAATTTAAAAAAATTTTTTTGGTTAAATGCCGCATCCAATCGAGGTTCACATATTGCATTTGGTTATGTCTCTTAGTCTTTTTGCATGAGGGAGGCCTCTCTGTAGTATGCAAAATCCTTATCATCTCTTCCTTGCCACTTGGGGACTTGGGCTGAAAATCAGGAGTGGCTGGAACATGCCCATTTACTGTCTGGTTTTGCAGGTTGTTGGAGGATATACAGAAGAACATCCTTCTGGAGAGGGGCCGTGAGCCTGGTTGGTCTAGACTGAGTGCCCTGGCAGAGCTCTTCCTCATGTGTGTATGGGAAAGAAGCCCAGATCAGTCCAAAGGCCTAACCCCCACTCCCAGACCCTACCCTACTCTTCAGAGAAATAGGCTCCCTACCCTGAACCCTGAAGAAAGCTGTACCTTCATCCCCAGGGACCCAGCACCCCTTCTGGCCTATCCCCAAAGAGTCACTGTGGGCCTTGGGTAGTAGGTGGAGCTGAGGGATCATGGCCCAAGATCAAGGGTTGATCCTTCCAACTTTGTTCAGTGATCCAGCTTTGATATTAGGCGACCAGGACAACCAGGCCAATCCGATAGGGGATGGTGTTTATAAAAAGGCCACTCACCTAGAGCCAGAAGCTCCAGACCAGCCACTACAACTCTGCTAATCTCAAGCACTTGCCTCTACAGGTACCTTTCTTGGGACCAGTTTCCAATCTCTGGGATCCCCAATTATAGAACTTGGAAGCTAGACAGAAAGATGGGGAGCCTGGGCTAGGTGTAGGGGGCCTGGGTTCCAGGTTTTGCTACTCAGCTCTTGACTTGTGTTTCCCCATTTTAAATGAGCAGTTTGGACTAAGCCATTTTTAAGGAGAGAGATGGGGAGGGCTTCCCCCTTAGCACAAGGGCAGCCCTGGCCCTGGCTGCAGCCCAACCTCAACCTCCAAGACTGTGAGAGGATGGGGACTCATCCCTGGAGGAGATGCCCTTCCTGGTATTGATAGAGTGCCCTGGGAAGGGGGCATCACAGGCTATTTGAATCAGCCCTGGGACCTTGGCTTCCTCAGTGTCACTGGGTAGGGGGAGCTCCCAGTCCCCTGGGTGTGTAGAAGGTATCAGCAGAAAGCCAGCACTGGCAGGGACCCTTTGGCACAATGCCCAGCATGCATGCTGTGCCAGGGGCTGACAAGGGTGCTGTCCTTGGCTTCCCCGTTTTGGGGTGGTCACTTGCCTCTACTCCAGCTCCAGAAGCAGAAACTAACTGAGAGGATGGGTGGAGGAAAGAGCCAGGGTTCAGGCTGGGAATCTTGAGGCTTCTTGCCAGTTCTCAGATTCTGTGATGCTCACAGGGTGAGCTCCGGGGGCACAGGACACATGGTAGATGAATCTTAGTCATTCTGGTATCCAGTTGGGAGCCAAGCACAGAACACACATCAGTGTTTATCAAATGACTGAGGAAATGAATGAATGAATGTCTCCATCTCAACCCTCAGCCTGGTCCCTCCTTCCTTTTTCCCTGTAGTTGGTACAGATGGCATTGTCCCAGTCTGTTCCCTTCTCGGCCACAGAGCTTCTCCTGGCCTCTGCCATCTTCTGCCTGGTATTCTGGGTGCTCAGGGGTTCGAGGCCTCGGGTCCCCAAAGGCCTGAAAAGTCCACCAGAGCCATGGGGCTGGCCCCTGCTCGGGCATGTGCTGACCCTGGGGAAGAACCCGCACCTGGCACTGTCAAGGATGAGCCAGCTCTACGGAGACGTGCTGCAGATCCGCATTGGCTCCACACCCGTGCTGGTGCTGAGCGGCCTGGATACCATCCGGCAGGCCCTGGTGCGGCAGGGCGATGATTTCAAGGGCCGGCCTGACCTCTACAGCTTCACCTTCATCACTGATGGCCAGAGCATGTCCTTCAGCCCAGACTCTGGACCGGTGTGGGCTGCCCGCCGGCGCCTGGCCCAGAACGCCCTCAACACCTTCTCCATCGCCTCTGACCCAGCCTCCTCATCCTCCTGCTACCTGGAGGAGCATGTGAGCAAGGAGGCTGAGGCCCTGATCAGCAGGTTGCAGGAGCTGATGGCAGGGCCTGGGCACTTCAACCCTTACAATCAAGTGGTGGTGTCAGTGGCCAACGTCATCGGTGCCATGTGCTTCGGACAGCACTTCCCCGAGAGCAGTGATGAGATGCTCAGCCTTGTGAAGAACAGTCATGAGTTCGTGGAGAGTGCCTCCTCCGCGAACCCCGTGGACTTCTTCCCTATCCTTCGCTACCTGCCCAACCCTGCCCTGCAGAGGTTCAAGGCCTTCAACCAGAGGTTCCGGCGGTTCCTGCAGAAAACAGTCCAGGAACACTATCAGGACTTTGACAAGGTGAGCCCGGGGTGCAGGTGGCGAGGGGCACCTTGCAGGGCCTGGGTATGCCCCTCCCTCCCAGCTCTAGCATGCTCACACAGCTGCTGTGTTGCCAAGGCCTAGGAAGGCTCTGGATACCTCAGACCAGCTGTGTGACCTAGAGTCAACTCTTCCCCTTCTCTGGGCCTCAGTTTCCTCATCCTTGAAGCCCCCTTCTCAGGGCTCCTCAAAGCCCCCAAGAAAAAAGTCCTGGAAATGGGGCCCTAGCAGAGCCCTGCAATGTGGGGGGCCGATGAGTGAGAAAGCTTTCATTCTGCAGAAACCTGAATCCCAACAGAGGCAAATCCTCAGTTCTGGTGCCACGTTGCTTCCCTGTGTTCACACTAACCTTTTCCTCCTTTGAAATTGGACCCCTGGGGTTATTGGGAAGAAGGGTCAATGGGGCATAAAATGACACTTTACGTCATACCCAGGGCTGCTACCAGCTCCTGCTGCGAGCTGCAGCCCCCTGTCTAGAGACCAAGTGGGAGGAGTAGCCCCCACGGGCAGGCGAGGGGTGTGGAGCAATGTTCAGCCTTTGACCTTGGAAGTGCCAGGGGTACCTCTAAGCTTGTGCTCCCTCAGAACAGTGTCCAGGACATCACGGGTGCCCTGTTCAAGCACAGCAAGAAGGGGCCTAGAGCCAGCGGCAACCTCATCCCCCAGGAGAAGATTGTCAACCTTGTCAATGACATCTTCGGAGCAGGTAGGAGCCAGAACCCTGCCCCTCCATCCAACAATGCCTGCTGTTCACCCACAGTCTTGCCCAGTCCCTCAGTCCATCAAACAACCCGCCAACCCTACACCAGATGGTGCAACATACTGAGACATGCCCTAGGATCAGGGTTTGAGCCTTGGCTGTGCCACCAATTCCCAGTGGAGACACAGCAAAGTCCTTCTCCTCCCCTAGGCGTCAGTTTCCCCATCTGAACAATAAAGTGTTCTCTGGCCTGTAAGTCTAGGCCCCTGTAATTCTGGCAGCTAATTCTGAAACCTGTATCTCAAGTTTATGTTGAAAAGACCCAGCCTCTGTCCTCAGGAAACTCACGGGCTAGGGCGAGAGAAAGCTAATGCTGGGTACACACGTAGTAGATAATTGGGAAATGATGGTTTCCTTGTTTCTGTCTTCCTTCCTTCCTCACCTTACCCTACACGGTCCAGGATTTGACACAATTGCAACAGCCATCTCCTGGAGCCTCATGTACCTTGTGACCAAGCCCGAGATACAGAGGAAGATCCAGAAGGAGCTGGGTACATGGGGGCCCCCAACCCTATGGCCAGGAGAAGCCTTGAGACCCAGTTTGTGTGTTCAGTCTACAAACACCTGTTATGTGCCTACTGTGTGCAAGCCCTGGGAACACAGTAGTGCCTGCCCTTGCCTAGAAGATGTGGGAGGTTAGTGGGGTCGCAGACTTGTGAATAGACAGTCTTACATAGAGTGACATGGGATATAAGAGGGGACAATTCATGGGGCAGTTAGGGCAGCCCATGAGTTCTGCTTGTCCTCTGTGTTCTACAGATGCTGTGATTGGCAGGGGGCGGTGACCCCGGCTCTCTGACAGACCCCAGCTGCCCTACTTGGAGGCCTTCATCCTGGAGACCTTCCGACACTCCTCTTTCGTCCCCTTCACCATCCCCCATAGGTGAGGGCTGCTGGTTCTGCCCTCCCACCTCTGAAGTCCTTGCCATATTTCCTCTTCCTGGCTTCTCAGCCCTGGCCCTGGCTCAGCATCTCCTTCCGGACCTCATTCCACGCAGATCCCAGCCTCAGTCTGCCCCCATCCAGTCCAAGCATAATCTAACCCCCAGCTCTCAGGAGAAAGTTCCACTTGTGATCTCAGCGCTCATTCCCTTCTGCTCATATTCCCTCCCTCCCAGTGCCCTCTGGGCCAGCCAGGTCGGCCTCAGCCTCACAAGCATGACCCTACTGGCCTCCAATTTTGGTAACACTGAACCTTCTGCCTGGAATGCCTTCTAGTCTCTTCTCTGACCACCAGAATCCTACCCTTGCTCAAAGTCAATGCCGATGCGAGCTTCCTCTCCCCAGAAGCCTTTTGACTCATCCAGCTGGCACAGCTTCACTCCTGATGTCTTATAGGACTTACAGCCATCAGCACTTGGTCATGCCCCGGAATTTTAACAATGTCAAGAGAGTTAGTGAGCATTTACGTCTGCCCAAATGTTGTTCCAGTTATTCCTAGAGTAAGAGGCCTGAATCCCCAGCCAGGCTAGAAACTCCCCAGGGCTGGCCCAGGCTGCCTGCTGCTTTTTTTTTTTCTTTTTTAATAGAAAATAGAAAAACATTTATCTGAAATTGCCTGTTTCTTGGCTCCAGAGAACAGCCAAGTGCACAGCCAGACACAAAGAGAAGTTTAGTAAATACTTGCTGAAGTTAAAGAACAGGAGGCAAGGAAGAGGGAGGATGACTCTACCCCTTCCCTGTTCCTCCCCTCTCCTCCCAGTGTAGGGATGGAGATGGCAGTGGGCAGGCTATCAGGATGGGGTGGAGGTAGGAACAACACACACCCCAGCTTTCCAGCCCTGAGTCTCACAGTGCCCTCTTCCCTCAGCACAACAAGGGACACAACACTGAACGGCTTCTACATCCCCAGGGAATGCTGTGTCTTCATAAACCAGTGGCAGGTCAACCACGACCCGTGAGTACACACCCCTCACAGAAAAATGTGTGCAGGTTCAGCAGTCAGGAAGGCTGTTCGTCCCCGCTAGGAACCATTTATAATAATGAAAGGAGGGAACCTCAGTTGCTATATAGTCTGCTGTAAGTGACAATATTTACAAAGGTTTCACAAACTTTAGTGCACAGGAATCAACCAGGATGGCCAGACGCGGTGGCTCATGCCTGTAATCCCAGCACTTTGGGAGGCCGAGGCACACAGATCACTTGAGGTCAGGAGTTCGAGACCAGCCTGTCTCTACTGAAAATAAAAAAAAAAGAAAAAGATTATTGTGCCTATAATCCCAGCTACTCCAGAGACTGAGGCAGGAGAATCGCTTGAACTCTGGAAGCAGAGGTTGCAGTGAGCCGAGATCGTGCCATTGCACTCCAGCCTGGGTGACAGAGTGAGACCCTGCTTCAAAAAAAAAAAAAAAAATCAACCAAGATGTTTGTAACAGCTGATGGTTCCCCTAGGATTCTACTGTGGTGTCTAAGGGGGGATGCCTCAGGCGATTCTGATGTGAATGGCCCAGAGACCTCTCTTTGGAAAGCCTCACTTTGGTGTATGGGTAGGGGGACCATATAATTTACCATCTACACTAGGACACTTGAGTGTGAAAACGCTATCAATGTTTATGCTAGTCATCATTACTCCAAAACAATAAACATAAGCCAGGACATACTGTTGAGGCCCTTTGGGAGGCATATTTTCAGTAGGATGAAGAGATGTATGTTTTTCTTTCTTTCTTTCTTTCTTTCTTTCTTTCTTTCTTTCCTTTCTTTCTTTCTTTCTTTTTCTTTTTTGCTTTTTTTTTTTTTTTGCTTTTTTTTTAACTTTAATTTTTAAATAGAGGCAAGGTCTCCATATGTTGTCCAGGCTGGTTTTGAACTCCTGGGCTCAAGGGATCTTCCTACCTCAGCCTCCCAAAGTACTAGGGTTACAGATGTGAGCCACCAAAACCAGCCTGTTTTTCTTCTTTAAATTCCTTTTAGATAAAGCATTATTTAAAGTAAATTAATATTAAAAGGCACTATCTTTAAGGCTGGTCATTTTAGAGAGAGCTTTGTAAAAGAAATAAGCATCAGGCCAGGTGTGGTGACTCATGCCTGTAACCCCAGCACTTTGGGAGTCCAAGGAAGGTGGATCGCTTGAGCTCATGAGTCTGAGATCCCTGAAACCCCGTCTCTGCAAAAAAAAAAAAAAAAAGAAAGAAAGAAAAAAACAAAAACACAAAAATTAGCCGGATGTGGTGCCAGTAGTCCCAGCTACACGGGAGGCTCAGGTGGGAGGATTGGCTTGAGCTGGGGAGGCAGAGACTGTAGTGACCTAAGATGGCACCACTGTACTCCAGCCTGGGTTATAGGAGCCAGAGTTTGTCTAAAAACAAAAAAGAAAGAAAGAAAAAGGAAAAAAGAAATAAGCATCAAAGTTCAGTTTGGTTCCTTCCCACTTACCCTTCATTGCTTAACATGTCCTCACACTTGTGATCTCAACAGAAGTCCCTTCCCCAGGCCCCTCCTCCCAGGGCCTCCCCAGCCCTGAAGTCCTATCTCCTCTGTTCCTCTTGCAGGCAGCTGTGGGGTGACCCATCTGAGTTCCGGCCGGAGCGGTTCCTCACCGCCGAAGGCACCACCATTAACAAGCCCTTGAGTGAGAAGATAATGCTGTTTGGCCTGGGCAAGCGCCGGTGCATCGGGGAGGTCCTGGGCAAGTGGGAGGTCTTCCTCTTCCTGGCCATCCTGCTACAGCAACTGGAGTTCAGCGTGCCGCCGGGCGTGAAAGTCGACCTGACTCCCATCTACGGGCTGACCATGAAGCACGCCCGCTGTGAACACTTCCAGGCGCGGCTGCGCTTCTCCATCAAGTGAAGAAGACGCCACCATGCTGAGGCCAGGGAGCGAGTGGGGGCCAACCACGGGGACTCAGCCCTTGTTTCTCCTCCTTTCTTTTTTAAAAAATAGCAGCTTTATCCAAGTGCAGGGCCTGTAATCCCAGCATTTTGGGAGGCCAAGGTTGGAGGATCATTTGAGCCCAGGAGTTGGAAGGCAGCCTGGGCAACATAGTGGGACCCTGTCTCTATTTAAAAAAAAAAAAAAAAAAAAATTAGTCAAGAGCCTGAGTGACATAGCAACACCATGTCTCAAAATATATATGTGTGTGTGTGTGTGTGTGTGTGTGTGTATAATTCTTATACCATATAATTCACCTTCTTTTTTTTTTTTTTTTTTTTTTTCCGAGACAGAATCTCACTCTGTCATCCAGGCTGGAGTACAGTGGCGTGATCTCAGCTCACTGCAACCTCCACCTCCCAGGTTCAAGTGATCCTCCCACTTCAGCCTCCCGAGTACCTGGGATTACAAGCATGAGCCACTATGCCTGGCTGATTTTTGTAGTTTTAGTAGAGATGGGGTTTCACCATGTTGGCCAGGGTGGTCTCGAACTCCTGACTCCAAGTTATCCACCTGCCTTGGCTTCCCAAAGTCCTGGGATTACAGGTGTGAGCCACCACATCCAGCCTAATTCACATTCTTAAAGTGTCAAATGACTTCTAGTGTAGAATTGTGCAACCATCACCAGAATTAATTTTAATGTTGTTATTATTTTTGAGATGGAGTCTCACTCTGTTGCCAGGCTGGAGTGCAGTGGCGCAATCTCGGCTCACTGCAACCTCCGCCTCCCATGTTCAAGCGATTCTCCTGCCTCAGCCTCCCAAGTAGCTGGGATTACAGGTGTGTGCCACCATGGCCAGCTAATTTTTGTATTTTTAGTAGAGATGAGGTTTCACCATGTTGGCCAGGATGGTCTCCATCTCTTGACCTCGTGATCCACCCGCCTCAGTCTCCCAAAGTGCTGGGATTAACAGGAGTGAACCACCGTGCCCAACCTTTTTTTTTTTTTTTTTTTGAGACGGAGTCTTCCTCTGTCTCCTAGGTGACAAGTGATCTGCCCGCCTTGACCTCTCTCAAAGTGCTGGAATTACAGGTGTGAGCCACTGCGCCTGGCCCACAATTAATTTTAGAACATTTTCATCACCCCTAAAAGAAACCCTGCACCCCTTAGCAGTCCCTCCACATTTCCCCCTAGCCTTCCTCCCCTGCCTCACCAGCCCTGGCAACTACTAATCTACTTTCTGTGTCTATGGATTTGCCTTCTCTGAACATTTCATATAAATGGAATTACACAATGAGTGGTCTTTTGTTACTGTCTTCTTTCACCTAGCACAATGTTTTCAAGGCTCATGTGTGTTGTGGCGTGTGTCAGTAAGCCCTTGGTGCTTGAGTCCTGAGACCAGGTCTAGGTCTGTGCTCTCTTCAGTCATTGATAGGCACCTCCTTCACTCCTCTCTCTTCTCTCCCTTCATGTTGTTTGACCAAAGTTTTTGAACAATTGAAGGGAACAAGGAGAAAGGGATCCAGTCTCAGGGGCCAAACCCAGTTGGGTGGATGGGGATCCCCCCGTCCCATTCTCAAAAGGCAGAACGCATGACTTCTCACAAGGCCTTGATTTCTTCGTTCACAGACCAGGGGCGGATAAGCTTCCCAGAAGTGCTTGGGTTATTTGAAAAAGGCCCAGGTCTCATCAAAGGACACTATCAAGAAACTGAAAGGAGGCCAGGCACAGTGGCTCACGCCTATAATCCCAGCATTTTGGGAGGCCAAGGCGGTTGGATCACTTGAGGTCAGGAGTTTGAGACCAGCCTGGACAACATAGTGAAACCTCATCTCTACCAAATATGCAAAAACTAGCTGAATATAGTGGCTAGCCTCAGCTGCTTAGGAGACTGTAATCCCAGGTGCTCACGAGGCTGTAATCCCAGCTACTCAGGAGGCTGAGGCATGAGAATCACTTGAACTCAGGAAGCGGGGGTTGCAGTGAGCCAAGATCCTGCCATTGCACTCCAGCCTGGGCTACAGAGTGAGACTCTGTCTCAGAAAACAACAACAACAACAACAACAACAACAACAACAACAAAAACTGAAAAGACAACCACAGAATGAGAGAAAATATTTGCAAAACATATAGCTGTTAAAGCATTTATATATAGAATATATAAAGAACTCCTGGCCGGGCACAATGGCTCACCCCTGTAATTCCAGCACTTTGGGAGGCCAAGGCGGGTGAATCATCTGAGGTCAGGAGTTTGAGACCAGCCTGGCCAACATGGTGAAATCCTGTCTCTACTAAAAATACAAAAATTAGTCAGGCATGGTGGCGGGTACCTGTAATCCCAGCTACTCAGGAGGCTGAGACAGGAAAAGCACTTGAACCCGGGGGCAGAGGGTGCAGTGAGCCATGATCACGCCATTGCACTCCGGCCTGGGCGACAAGAGTGAAACTCCATCTCAAATAAATAAATAAATATATACATATATATATTTATATAATATATATAAAAATCTCCTACAACTCAACCACAAAAAAGCAACTCAATTAAAAAATGGGCAAAGGACTTGAATAGATGTTTATGTAAAGAAGATATATTGATTGTATCCCTGTATCAAGATATCCCAGATACCTCGTAAATATATATACCTACTATGTACCCACAAAAATTTAATTTGAAATTTTTACAAAAGAAAATACACAGTCCGGGCATGGCAGTGCTTACCTGTAGTCCCAGTTACTAGGGAGGCTGAGGTGGGAGGATGGCTTGAGCCCAGGAGTTGGAGGCTGCAATGAGCTGTGATCATACCACGGCACTCCAGCCTGGGCAAAAATGAGACTTTGTTCCTGGAAAAAAAAAAAAAAAGAGTATATATATACACACACACTATCATCAACAAGCATATGAAAAGATGTTCAGCATCATTAGGGAAGTGTAAATCAGGCTGGGCACGGTGGCTTACACTTTAATCCCAGCATTTTGGAAGGCTGAGGCAGACGGATCACTTAAGGTCAGGAGTTAGAAACCAGCCTGGCCAACGTAGTGAAGCCCCATCTCTACTAAAAATACTAAAATTAGCTTGGCATGGCGGCGTGCACCTGTAGTCCCAGCTATTCGGGAGGCTGAGGCAGGAAAATCACTTGAACCAGAGGCGCAGAAGTTGCAGTGAGCCAAGATTGTGCCACTGCACTTCATTCTGGGCAACAGAGCGAGACTCCATCTCAAAAAAAGAAAAGAAGTGTAAATCAAAACCACAATGAGATACTACCTCATACCAATTAAGATGGCTATTAAAAAGAAAAAAACTAGTAAGTGTTGGTGTGGATTTAGAGAAATTGTAACCCTTGTGCATTGCTGATGGGAGTGTAAAACGGTGCAGCCACTGTGGAGAATGCTTTGACAGGGCCTTAAAATTTAAACATAGAGTTACTACTTGGTTACCATGGCTCACACTTGCAATCTCAGCAGGAAAATCGTTTGATCCCAGGAGTTTGAGACCAGCCTGAGCTGCATGGCAAGACCCCCATGTCTACAAAAAATACAAAAAAATAGGCAGATATGGTGGTGCACACCTGTGGTCCCAGCTACTCCAGAGGCTGAGGCAGAAGAATCACCTTAGCCTGGGAATTTGAGGCTGCAGTGAACTGTGATTGCACCACTGCACTCCAGCCTGGGCAATGGAGTGAGACTGTGTTTCAAAAAAAGAAATGGGTAAATGATAAATTTTATGTATATTTTAACCAAAAATTTTTTAAAAGGTCACCATGCCTAGCCACAGAAAATACAATAAATTGTGTGTGATAAAAAGAGATGAGCTGGCTGGGTGCAGTGGCTCACTCCTATAATCCCAGCACTTTGGGAGGCCAAGGCGGGTGGATCACATAAGGTCAAGAGTTTGAGAACAGCCCAGCCAACATAGTGAAACCCTGTCTCTACTAAAAATACAAAAATTAGCCGGGTGCGGGCCCGGCGTGGTGGCTCATGCCTATAATCCATCCCAGCACTTTGGGAGGCCGAGGCGGGCAGATCATCTGAGGTCAGAAGTTCGAGACCAGCTTGGCCAACATGGTGAAACGCCGACTCTACTAAAAATACAAAAATTAGCTGGGCATAGTGGCACATGCCTATAATCCTGCCTACTCGGGAAGCTGAGGCAGGAGAATCCGGGAGGCAGAGGTTGAGGTGAGCCAAGATCACGACATTGTACTCCAGCCTGGGCAACAGAGTGAAACTCTGTCTCAAAAAAAAAATCAGCCAGATGTGATGGCACACACCTGTATTCCCAGCTACTCGGGAGGCAGAGGCAGGAGAATTGCTTGAATCTGGGAGCCAGAGGTTGCGGTGAGCTAAGATCATACCACTGCACTCCAGCCTGGGTGACAGAGGAAGTCTCCATCTTAAAAGAAAAAAAAAAAAAAAGATGAGCTATCAAAGTCACAAAAAGACATGGAAGAACTTTAAACGCATGTTGCTAAGTGAAAGAAGCCAATCTGAAAAGGCTACATGCTTTATGATTCCAACTTTAGGCCATTCTGAAACAGGCAAAACTATAAAAACAGTAAAAAGATCAGAGGTTGCCAGGAGTTCAGGACATGGGAGTGAGGGATGAATAAAAGGAGCACAGAGGGCCGGGCGCAGTGGCTCACACCTGTAATCCCAGCACCTTGGGAGGCCAAGGCAGGCGAATCACCTGAGGTCAGGAGTTCAAGACCAGCCTGGCCAACATAGAGAAACCCTGTCTCTACTGAAAATACAAAATTAGCCGGGCGTGGTGGCACATGACTATAATCCCAGCTACTTCGGAGGCTGAGGCAGGAGAATCACTTGAACCTAGGAGGCAGAGGTTGCAGTGAGCTGAGATTGTGCCATTGCATTCCAGCCTGGGCAACAAGAGCGAGATTCCATCTTAAAAAAAAAAAAGAGAAGCAAAGAGTTTAGGGCAGTGAAATTTCTCTCTATGATACTGTAATGATGGATAAATGTCATTACACATTTGTCAAAAACCATAGAATGTACAACACCAAGAGTGAACCTTCGTGGATACAAAAATACAGTTAGATACAATGAATAAGCTCTAGTATTTGATAGCACAACGGAATGACTACAGTCAGCAATGATTTGC